TACAGTGATATCTGCACTACTCATCAACTCAAAAACACCAGAGTATCCTTGTTAATTACACAACATTGATTGGTTTAAATTGTGTGCAATGCTTTTGTAATTTTCCCCTTCGATTCGGAGAAACAAATATGTGTTCAGAGTTTAGGATGGCCGAAGACACTACACTACCCAGAATCCTCAGCTATTGTTCTGCTTTGCCTCAAGCTCTGTGATTGGTTGACCTCCAACTGCATTCCATATGGAAAAAAAACGTTTCGTAAAAGATAAAATCATACTTTATTCAGCAGTGCTTGCTTTACTCTTTGAAAGTCATCACATGAATGCATTGTAATGAATGGTTTGGCTGCATTAAACATTACACATCTGTCGTAGTTCTTTATTTATCTACAGAGATCGGGCTCAGAATAGACCGGAAACTATTCTTTTACCGTTCGGTTTTAATTTCACAATAAAGTTAGTAGTAATAATTTGTTTTGATATTATTGTTTTTTATTAACTACTAGACCGCTGGTCATGTTAAGACCTTCTTTCTGTCTTGCTGTGGGTTTTTACATCGCTTTTGTGTTACAAATATCAAAACAATAACAGAATATATCCGTCGTAAACTAAACCAGAAACAGCAGTATATTTTATTTTGTTAACACTGTAAACTTGACAGCTTTTTAACCCGCACCTCCTACTGGTTAAAGCACGTTATTACACGTTTAGAGTAATTGTAATGCAGGTAGATTGTGTTGCTTTTTAATGACTGTTTTAAAATGCCTTTTTCTTCACTTATTTTAACTGATATTATACATATTAATTATACTCTTATAAGATGTATGTAGATAGTATAAGAAAGGTGCAGAATATGTTTAATGGTGGAGGTACACAGGTATCGATAGATGTCTTGTAATACACTGTTGAGGAACCTGTGACCCAAGTTTTTCATTCATTGCATAACTACACCGTAGTTGTGTATATGATATGTCAATAAACCTTAGAAAATCTTGAAATCTTGAAAGGGATGTGCAAAATAGCCATTATATACAGTTTTTAATGAACTATTAGTAGAGAATAACGAGTAATGAATATGCTTTATAGGGATCTGCAGATAAATATTTAATCTTCTCAAGCACCCACTACCAAATATCTCGCCTGATTGTTGGCTGAATTCACTGAATTTTACTCAGGTGTAACTAAAGTCTGATTTAAGGGTTGTTATATTTCACATCATTAATCCAAATCTGTAAAGTAACTCAAATAAATGTAGTGGAGTAAAAATACCAGGTTAACCTTAAAGAATGCCCTCAGGATTATAAAGACCCCCATCACCCCAGCCACAAACTGTTCTGTCTGCTGCCGTCTGGCAGGCGGTACCGCAGAACTAACTAACTAAAACCACCAGACTCAGGGATAGCTTCATCCCACAGGCCATAAGACTATTAAACACCTGAACTTTGAAACAACATCCATAACATTCATCTGGCTGCTACTTAGAAATTATTTATCTAATATATCATATTCCAATCACTTGTATATAGACTCTTATTGCACTATTTCACTTTTTACTATTTGACTATTTTTCTTTTTGTATTTACTTGCACTATTTTGTCTGTGTATCTGTTTTATTGTGTTGCACTCATAGACTGTATATATAAATGGACGTAGGGTTGCACTGTTGGAGGAGCCTGTGACCTAAGGAGGGGGGGGGGGGGGGGGGGGGGGGGGTTAGGACACGTCTAAGCACATGGTGTAGTCCCATAGCTGAGGATTCTGGGTAGTGTAGTGTCTTCTGCCCCCACACGACGAACAAATATTTGTTTCTCCGAATCGAAATGGGAAAATACAAAAGCATTGCACACAATTTAAACCAATCAATGTTGTGTAATTAACAAGGATGATCTGGTGTTTTTGAGTTGATGAGCAGTGCAGATATCACTGTAAATAAAATCAATCGACAGGAAGGAGAATACTTACTTCCGGGTGTAAAATCCTCCGTTATCTAATGGGAATGGACGCTCACATTGCTCTCCGTAATACAATAAAGAGGACTTGATCAAATAGGAATATAATATCTTTTAAATAACGTTAACTAAAGGAACAATCTATTTGACACAGCTGAAGCTCTGGCCTTCCTTAAAAACTAACTCATTTAATAAAAATCACAGTTGTATTACACACAATGCACTGTTTTTGAGAACAAAAATTGGTGAATAATGCACCATAATACATTCTGACGAAAAATAAAAATTATTATGAATACAAATAAAATAAAAGAAGCTTCCCGTGAGTTACTACAAGCTA